GTCCCAGAATTGTAAACCAAATAAACCTCTTTCCTTTATAAATTACCCAGTCTCATGTATTTCTGTTATAGCAACACAAAACGGACTAAAACAGCAACTAAGATAATGAGTTTCAGGGAATGGAGCCACTGACTCTGCAGCTTCCCACAAAGAAAATGTCTGTGCCACGGGCTACAGTAGCATAGAATACCCCCTCACATCTCTAAGTGCATTCTTGACCATCAGTCCCAGTGTTATCCATTGTGTAAATATCACATAAACCAGGAATATGACTTCCCTTGCAGATAAAACTGATGCATAATTAGGACAAGTAATTTGCTTCATATGTTGTACATGGGGTTGGGGTTTAGACTGTGCAGAAGGCTGCTATTGTGTTTCCCGTGCACAACCAATCTCCCCACTTTTGGTAAGAGAACTCCTTTTCTGTGTGGAATCCACTCAAAGTGGTTTGCATGGAATTTCCACTTCCCTTCTTCAGGGACATGCACAAGACTGGGCTGACCAATCAGAATACCACATGCCCTTGGCCACAGTAATTGGATCAAGATGGTCATGTGACCCAACCCCAGCCAATTAGATCCTTTCCTAGGACTTCCCCATAGCCAAAGCTATTGGGGAAGAAGCTTTATTCTTCCTGGGGTTGCTAATCAGTAGATTGTGAGCTTTAGGTTATTGATGGCCACCATGGGCACCCTGAAGAGAGCACCTGCCCATGATATGAAGAAATAAAGCCCTGAAAACATTGTCATGATCCTGAATCTACCCATGTCTGCAGTCCTGATGACATCGTTGTGATCTTGAATCCAGTCATTCCTGAGGCCAGATCTCCTCTGGACTTTTCAGTTATATGAGCCAAATTACTCCCTATTTGCTTGGTTGTATGAGTTGTGTTTCTGTCATATAAAATCTCATTAATATAGGCTATAATTGGTACCTCCTTCCATCCACAGACTTTATCTCACAAATTCCAGGTGTTTGTCAGGAAGAATTGGGAGCTGGGGTGGTCTCCTGCATCTCAACAGAAGTTGGATTGTGCAAATTGTGGTTCTCTTTTAGTTCCCAGACACTCGTGTTCTACTTACTGTCCCCCTTCTCTATTATTATCCCTATGTGTGCTGACAGGTAGGTTTGTAAAGTTTCTCCTACCCCCTTCCTAATAACTTTTATCTCCATCAATAATCATAAACTCCCCGGGGATAAGGTGAACAACCACTTCTAGGTCTTCTTCTTCTCCATTAATTCCTGGTCCAAGGTTCTTAGGTCTCAAATATGGAGTTTGGTGGTTTGAGGGTTTGATGGTTTGAATGTTATGTGCATGTGAGTGGGTACTTGGGGAGATGGGGGAATGAAGAGGAAGGGACTGTCAAAAAGCACAAATGGTGCATGATACAGATAGAAAGAGAGAGAATAAAGATCTGAGCAAACAGGACTCCTCAAGTTTGCAGCATCTGGGAGGCTCCGGTAAGCTCAGCTGGCTTTATGTCGTCATTTATTCAGACCCCACCTTCTACCAAGAGAGGACTGAGGGAACCCACAGCTATGGCTGCAGAGATACAGACAAGGATGTCATAGATATGGTTTTTACTTCCTTAAATGTGTGTCCTGCCCTCCCCAGGAGAATGTTCTTACTGTAGCTGTCCCATCTGTGTTTACACCACGGCTGGCCCACAGAGCAACATTTCCCTACCATGGCACAGGCTCTGGCAGCTTAAAAGTAGACAAGGACAAAAGACTGAATAGCGTCCTGCCAAGATCAGGAACAAGGCTAGGATGTCTGCCTTTAGAAATAAAAATGTATTGGGCTGGCCCGGTGGCACACTGCTATAGTGCGCCGCTTGGGAAGCGCGGCGGCGCTCCCGTCCGAGGGTTCGGATCCCACATACAGACCAGCTCCCGCTCACTGGCTGAGCGAGGCGTGGGAGCAACACCGAGGCTTGCGATCCCATTGCCGGTCCCCGGTCCGGTACGGGGGCGACACTGAGGGTTGCGATCCGTTGCCGGACACGGAAAAAGACAAAAAAAAAAAAAAAAAAAAAAAAAAAAAAAAAAAATTTATTTAAAAAAATACTGAGGTTTTAGCTAGGGGAGCAAGGCAAAAAAAAAAAAAAAAA